ACATTACATCGATCTTTAGCAGGATTAAATGCGTAAGTAACTATTAATTTATTAATTTTATGTTGCTACCAAATTATTAATTTGTCTTGCTTATTAGATATCGAAAACAGAATGAAAAACAAAAGCTAACTATCGCTAAGTTAACCCTCCCAAGTGTTTCTAAGGTATATTGACTATATTGTTATTAACTATTGAAATAATTTTATTTAAATATTATAGATTATTTTGTATATTCTATTTACAAGGATGTGCCAGAAAATTTTAATACAACAGAAAATTCAAACGCGAAAAAATCCAATGCAAAAGAAAACCTTAATGAAGCAGCAATTTCTAATGCTGAGGAAATTGATATATCATCTGAAACAGAAAGGAAACCACTATCTGAAATCCAAAATACAGTTCCTTCAAAACGTAAAAATGACTTACTTTTTAACAATAGTAAACTTAAATTTATTAAATGTAAAAACATTACTATTAATATTACAAAATAAATTATAGTTATTATATGTACTGGAAATGCATAAATAAATATATATGAATTGATCGTCTAGTAGGCATAAATCACTTGCATAACCACGTAAATGATATCGATCAGGGGATAAATTATATTATACTAGACACGGAAAATATTCAATAAAATGGATTTAAATATAATCAAAGATAATTTTTTTTTTAATAAACTTTTTTTCTTTGTTATCAAATTTGCTAAATTTACTGAAATACTTCACTTAATTATGGATTCTATTTCCACTAAACAACTTTTAGCTAAAACTAGATTGCCAAATTACCAAGTTTAAGTGAGATAATGTCTTATGGACAAAAGCATAAAAAAATTCAAATTTTATTTTGTGATCTTTCATATGTAGATGTTTGTATATCTGAGGGTATAGTTATAGATGAAGGTACATGTTTGTTATTACCAGATGAATTTAATGGCTATATATGTGCTGATACAACTGCTGATGGAAATTGCTTATATAATGCAGTATCCTATTTTTTTATTCACAAAAACTCTTTATCAACATAACTTCGTCTATCTACAATATTAGAGTTGATGGCATATGCCGATGAATATCTTGTCTTAGAAGTCTTTGAAAAAGATTATTCGTATTCAGATAGAGCATTTTCAAAAGCAAATAATAAGAGATATCAGCAACCAGAATATAGAAATATTGCACCATTTGTTGCTGAAATTATGGAAATGTGTTGTATAGGAGCATGGAGTCCATTAGGTGCTCTTATGGTTTAGCCTCAGTTAAATATAAATATCACGAAAATATGTAAAAAGCTCTCAACCAAATAAAAAACAAAGGTTAAACGGAATTAAAGATGATGATTCCATTGAACAATGGAAAGAAACAAAAGTATCACTAGAGGATCAAATAATAGCAAATGGATTTGTTGAAGCATTTCAAAAGCGTAAAAATTCTTTTAAAGGTATTACACAACAAATTGCTGCTGATGAAATTTGTGAATTAACTAAATCACAAATTGGATTTGGACAATCAGCTGTTTCTAAAATTATTAAAAGATCTGAATTACCTGCTAATGCATTGACGAGAGATGCTATTAAATTATGGATTGAAAAACAAACTGAAAGTAAGGCATTTGTGGTATGATTAAATTGAATAATAATATAATTAAAATAAATTTTGTTTGAACATTTATTATAGCTTAATAAAGTATAAATGATTATAAAATTTTATATATTTTATAAATTAAATAAGTTAAATATATTAAATATATATAAAATTATCACATTTTGATGTTGCCTCCTTGTCTTGCTGGTTTGCTTTGGTCTCCTGGAATATTATATATTGGTGTTTCTTGTGCTTCTAGTTAGATATTTTCGGCTAACTATACTATTATTTAAAAAAGTGTAGTTAGACGAAAATATTCAGCCGAAAATAGTAGATGTTGAACCAATAGATATTCAATAAAATATTCTAGATCAACATGAATTTTTTTCGGCTGGGTGTTGTTAGCCGAAAATTTACTGCGCCTTCGGCTGAATTTTTCAGCTAACTACACCATTATAAAAATGTACCATTTGCCAGAAAATTAGAATATTTGACAAAATTTGATTTTAATTGACAATGTTATAACAATGTTGTGAAATGTTACAATAATATTACATTTGAGGTGTAATGTAGCATATTCCCAAATTTTCATAAAATTTGCAGCATTTTTCACAATTTTCCACCATTTTTCAGAAAAATGTGAAATTTGCATTTTTTGAAATTTGGACAATGGTACTCCTTTGACTTGTGAAAGTCCATTACTTTTTTTATACCACAAATTACCATTGTGCAATACATGTAACTGCAGTATGTTGTATAATATTACAAAAGCAATCAATTTTTCATTCACACTAATGATATCAATCTACAAGCATCAAACCCAATTTTAATCACCTAATTGGAATATATCTCATATTTATCTTCTCTCTTAATTGACAATTCCCAAAAGATATCATTTCCAAATATTTTAGAAGATTATGACAACTCCTTAAAAGCAAACTAATGGCACTTAAAATAGAATTAATTCTATGAAGCACTATACGTTTATACTGATCAAAAGCCTAGGATTAAACCCTGGATCAACCCCTGGATTTATCTAGAGTGAATATATATTTTATTCCAGATTTTCCTATATTTCATTCTGAATCTTTTCATATTTTTTCCTAGATCTGATCCACATTTTATCCTGGATTAATTCCTTAAATTTCACCAAAAATTACATCACATCCAATTATCAAACCCTAGATTAATTCATATTCTATTACATATTTCATCCTGGATTTGATCTATATTTTATCCTGGATTTAATTTATCTTGTATTTTTCCTTAGGCTGATTATATCACAGAAGTTTCTAATTTATATGATCAGATTTTTGTTTATATTTTAGAAAACTTCTCTTATAACTTTAAATGAGATGTTCCTGGAATAAAATATGGATTAATCCATTTTCACCCAGATAAATCCAGGATTTGATACAAGGTTTAAACTAGGGATGGCAATGGTTATGATCATAACTGTTTAACCGACTGTTTAACCACCATTTAACCAACCATTTTAACATTTGACTGACCATTTTTAACCATTTAACCGACCATTTAACCAATTATTTAAGTAAAATGATATTACTGACCATTTAATTGACCATTTAACCAATTTTTAACTGACTATAACTGACCATTTAAACTGCTATAACTGATTATAACTGACCATAACCAACCATAACTGACTGTTGCCATCTCTAGTTTAAACCCAGACTTTTAATTAGTATGGCACTTCATATAATTCTGGTAAAGAAAATAACCAATTACTAAAATTTTTATCCAGTTTAGTGCTAATATACATGTAATCTACCTAGATTTTTTTTCTGTTGCAACTACAATGAATGTAATATTCCTGTGGTATATGCTATGTCAAGAAACCATTGGTGCTGTAATGGATATTAAGCTAAAAAAATCAACCAATATATCTGTCATGATGTTAAGCACATAGCACAACATTCTTGTTTCTATAAAGAACAAATCAAAAACTTCTCACATCTCGTACTCAAAAAAATAAAAAAAACGTTAAAGAAGTACATTCTAACCATTTTGGTGTCAGTTATACTGTTACTGTGCTTAATAAAATCATGATACCCAAAAAAAACCAAACTTATAAAGTCCAGCTATACTACAAAGAATATTCAAATTTGAAATTGATATCTACCAATCTTTGATACAGAAAGAGCAATAAAATCGCCTAATAAGATGTACAATTCAACAAGAACGATTTGATTACAAAATACAACCAAAAGTTCTACATGCTCCCACTGCATGCGAAATATGCTTTCCTAGGTTGAGCGAATATTTCCTGTTTGACGGAAAATAGAAATTGAAAAAATGCAAGAAAAACTGGATCTGATCTGACGTACAAAGAAATGAAACAAATTAATGAAAGGTCTACCCTTGGGTAATCCAGGTGACTCTCAAATATATTATCTTAAAACATATATTAACTTATTTGATTACAAGATCAGATGTAAATTTGGCATCAGCTCACTATAGCTATACAAAAGCTATGGAATTGTGACAATGTACTTAGTTATGATTACTTCCATTTGTATGGAAGAATACAACTCGGTACAAACAAATTTTTTTGCTATGTTATATCTCAACGTGATAACTTGATAATTAATGACCCTACAACATTTTTAGAAGAACTCCTCCACCAGATAATACCTTAAATACTACTGAGAGTGATCAATCTTTCATTTCTGCCCATTCCATGGCCTCAGTTATATATCTGCCAACCCCGGAGCATGACTAATTTCTCCATATAAAAACAATTACAGACCTTTATCAATGCACCATTCTATACCTGAATGTATTTACATATTATATCATTAAATAAAAGAAAAATCGCTTTTCTTCTTCATTGTACCTTAGCTCTTCCATCTCAAAATTTTTTTTTGAAGGGTGGGTCTGATTCAATCTCGTTTTGGATGGGTGTTGTAGTACAAATTCTCATCTATAGGGTAGTTAAGCCTTGGCAGCCCCTAGCTGTATAATAGTTAACTACACTTCTAAATTAAAATAAATAAAATAAAATAAATAATTTCTCCACTAAAAATATTCAAAGATCATAATTTCAATACTTACAATAAATTTGCAAGAGTTTCTCCCTATAAAATTAGTCTAAGTATACCATTAATAATAATTAATGTGGCACGTTTACATTATAAGAAATGGCAAAAGAGTGTTGATGTATTGTACGCTGCGCCTACTGCGCCATCACAGATCAGATGCACCAAATCATATTTAAGAAAAATGCACGTTAGGGATCGTCGAGTAAATCATGTGATTTACGTAATTATGACGTTTAAATTTCGGCAACATTCTCCTGTTAATTAATAATGTATTGGCGGAATTATTTTGAGATACCTTTTACCTAGTATGCTAACTTGGTCTCGGCTAAATTTTTTGGTCGCGGCTAAATTTTCAGTTGTGGCCAAATAAACATGACCATATTTTAAGTTTAGAAGGCATATGAAATTCTGAAAATAATGTGCATATTTTGTATATGCATATGATTTGTATCTAAATTAAACTAGTTGAGGCTTAGATTATTAATCGATGATTGATTTACCGATGAAATTTAAATAGCCTTGCCACCAAAATTTCCTTTTATAGATAATTAATCGGAATTATGAACCGACTTCTGATGGTTTGGGACATTTGTTTTTATCTTATTTTTACCTAATAAATAATTACTTAAAAAACCTAAACATAATTAAGCCACATAACCAGCCTCATTTGGAATACAAATTATTTTTTAAAAAAGTATATAACATGATAATTAATTGGCCGAATTTTCTAAAAAAAGAAAAAAAAAATGCAATCCAATTATCTTAAGGTGTTTGTACTATTTGCAATTGTTTTATGCGTTTATCCCTTGCACACTATAGCAGAAGTAAAACCATTTTTACATGTTGAAGAAAAAGATTATGGATTAGAATCACCACCTCGTGTGTCAAAAATAAAGTCATATGATAATATTATTGCAGTAAGAATTGTTAGAAATGATACAAGTAGATCTGATGCAATGGTTCATTGTAGTTATGATACACTTTTTTTAAGAATTATTTATCCTAATGGAACGGTCATAGAAAAGGATATTAAATTAGAAGGCGTTCAACTATTCAATTATTGTTCTATTAGACCGGGAAAAGAAGATGATCATTTAAGGTATGAAATGATTGAAAAGGATAAAATTCTCGTCGTTTATTATAATTCAATAAATTATATGAAAGTCGAAGGATGGGGAATGTTAATTGATTTTGATGGTAAAGTGTTTGATAGGACACTTATAGGAGTTATTGGATATAAAGATTTTCGTATTTTCAGATTACCACGTGTGCAAATAAGTTTCAATGTTAAAAAAGAAAAAGGATTTATCATAGGTTATAGACCACTTGCAAGTAATAATTTTGAATGGAAACAATATAAAATAGAATCAGATGGAAAATTTACAACTTTGTCTAACGGATTAATTAAATTAGATTCTAGTGCAATCTTTGGACTTAATGCATTAATATCGACAATTGATGAAGGTTACTCTTTTATTTATAAATTAAATGATACATTACCAAATTCAATGTTACGAGATCTAATTGTTGCAGAATTTATAGGTTATAATAAATTTGATACGACTAAAATTTACCTTTATCGAGCAAATTTATTAAATAGAATCCCTCAACCAATATCTTGTAGTATAGAATATGTGGGAGTTGGACATTCTTGTTCCTTACCTATAATGTATAATCAAAGTGATTATAATCTTAAAATTGGATTTTTATCATCCGGAGCAATTATTTCATTAAATATTACACAAATTATTTTTCCTGGTAACAGATTTAAATTTAGAACTTGGAAGTTAAAAAGTTTACTATTTGGTGGTTATATATTACCTGAACGTATAAAAGTAGGTACGGATTCTAGATTATATATTTACGTATTTTCTGTAAATGGTACATTATATAATACTTTAGGTTCAGAACAACCTTTACAAACAAATCCAAATTATGCACTTGAAGTATTACCAAATAACACTCTCTTGATCGCACAAATGGAATATAATAATACTTGGGGATTTAATGCGATTGATATACCTAAACTTACAAATGATAATGGATATTATAATACAAATATAGAGTCAACATTCCCTGAAATTAATTCTACAATACCTTCAGGTATTACGAATACTTCAATTAATTTTTATATACCAGTAACACTATCGGGTGGTAGATTATCAATATTTCAAACAATTGGGGAAAGAAAAATTTTACGTCAATCAACTTCTGGTATCCAATGTATATTAGATAACGATGATAAAAGAGTTATTGTAAATATACTTAACAGTACTCTTAGTAAATCAGGAGGAAATTATTTTATTAAAATTGATAGTAATTTTGTTAAAAGTAGAATTTATGGAGAACCTTTATTAGGGGTAAGAGAAGATACTTGGAATTTCATAATTGAAGATAAAAGATATTTATATACTATTACTAGTTCAACAACTGCCTTACTTAGATTAACTGTAAGAGGGACAAATATAATTAAAAATTCTACTATTGATGAAAAAAAACATTTTGTTAATACTTTATTGGATGAATTAGCTGATGCAGTTCAAATATCACGTGGTCGTCTTAGAAGTATTAAAAATCAAATGGATCCTAATTCAAATGATGGAAGACTTTTGATTAATATAAATATTGAGGAAACTAAAGATCCACATGAAAAAGATGTTAATTCTGTAATACAAGATATAAATTACATGATGTCAAATAATGATCAGACTCCCATTGGATATGGTCAACTTACTAATTTGGACTTTACTTATGGCTTTAATCCTGCTCGTAAGTATTATTATTAATAATAAAATTTTCAATATAATTAATTCGTGGTTCTAAAAAAAAATTATTATTATTATTATTATTTAATAATGCTTAGCGAATTATCTGGAAGAATATGGACCAAGATCATTGATTTCAGTTTCAATTGCAATACCTTTAGTTATTCTTTACTTTCTTGCTAAAAAAAGAGAAAGAAAGGTATTATTAATTAAAAACATTTTTTCATAATATTTTTTTTGTTTTTTTTTTTTTGATTAAAATTTCACATTTAAAAAAAAAATTTTTTTTTTAGGGTCAGAATATTGTTATTTTTAAAGTTAGCTTTTTTATTTTTGATTTTGTTATTGATACTCTTTTTATAATTAATAATGCTAATGATGTAAAAAGGTTATATATTCCAAGGTATGATACATATTATATTAAAATAATTAATTTTTTTTATTTATTTATTTATTTTTAATTAAAAGAAATTTTTATAATATTTTTATAGTTTAATATTTTATACTGTTCCAATAGGACTAAATTTGGCATCATCATTTCTAATAATAGCGAAAGAAAATACGAGAAATGAGTTTTTATCGTGGTTTACAGAAAATAATAAACTTGCTAGCATATTTATAATATTGGCAGGGATTGATATTGATATATTAAGTGTTTTATATTCAAATCTGGCGGGGTTTAAATATTTTCAAGCTCCATTATCTGATTCTACTAAATCGATAATATTTTGGATTGCTTTTATAAATATTTTCATTGAAGATATTCCTCAATTTGTCATTCAGGTATTTTAAAATTTTAAAGATTTTTTTTTATATTGGTATATTTAGAATATTAATTTGATTATTTCCCCTCCCTCTCAGATTTTATTTAAAAGGAGATCGATAACATATGATATTATTCCAATTATTACTTTAATCTCTTCAGCGATAACTCTTACAATTAACATTATAAGTCGCTCGCATCAATCTATAAATTATATTCGGGATAAGAGAAGCGAGCGTCGTGTATCCATTCTTGAACTTGATGATTTAGTAGATAATGAACATTATTGATTTTATATACCTAATTTTTATTTAAACCATTTTATTTAATATATTATTTGTTATTTTAATATTTATTATATTTATTAAAAAATTGTTTTGATCCTTTATAAGTTTTTACAATGTACAAATTTTTCATTACAATTTATTGCGAAATTACAAATGTTAGCATAGTCTTCAAGCTAACGATAAATTCTTAAGTTTACCTCGAATTTATGAAAAATTTAACTGGAATTACAACATTTAACTGGTATCGGAACATTTCTCCGAAAACCAATTCGCCGAAAAAATAATCTGGCCTGAGTTTATAAAGTTGACCCTATTTTTCCTTTCGGCGAAATGGTTTTCGGTGAAATGTCCCGTACCCTTTTTAACTAACATACATGATATATCATGTGATCATTCTTAAAGAATCGAGTTACACGAATTCGTGTTCAATCCGAAATTTTAAACCTCTCCAACTATCCATAAAATAAACAAACAAATAAATAAATAAACAAATCCGAAATTTTAAATATATCATAAATTATAAAACTAGGTTATGAAGTAACATTCAGTATTATAAGCAAGGGTAAGGCATAATGACATGGGATAACCCATTTTTATGATTCCGTAATAAATAGTTCTTCACTACGCTCTCGGATAATAAAATCTATTGCAATTTAAGTACCCCGCAAAAGAGGCGTTCAGGTGATGTTTATTACAAACGTTTCAGCCATATTTCCATATCCGGTACATTCAATTAATTAGAGTAATTAATGATCATCGTAATTTTTGTACGACCGATAAGTAAAAATTCTTTTTAAAATGAACATCAATCCTTAAAAATGAAGATAACTTCAAACGTGAAACTTTATATTTTAGAATAAAGTATACTAATTTGTTTTTCTTTAATATATCATCTAATCGCCATTTTTTGACACATTCTTTGTCCGACAACGATTGACCGACAAGTCATTCCGACCGACAAGTCATTTTCCAGGACGTTTTATCAATATATCATTTTTTTTTCAATGACATTATATCGAAATCATTTCCAACGGGAATATATTTCCTACGAAAATGTAACTTGTATTATTAATAATAATAAAATTTTTTCTTTAATTTGAAATAATATTTTGTCAAATAATTATACAAATAATATTGAATTTATAAATTAAACGTTTCAGTTTATATTGATGGCTATTCAATTATTTTTTCATGATAGTTATAAAATTAATTATATAATAAAATTCCATACACGAAAATTTTTCATCCATAAATTCCATGGGAAATTGACTATAAATATATGATGACAAAAATCTTATTAATAAATTTATTTTATTAAAATCAAAACATTTTGGTAAATGATTTTCAATTTTCGATAAAATTTCTTGACAGGAATAATCTTGGAATAATATGTTTTCGAAATTGCCATGTCGGAAAATCAAATATGGATGTTGAAAAATTGCTAACGTAAACTTAAGGAGTTAAAAACTGATGATCAGACTATTGATCTACTAATTTTGAATTACTACGAATATGTAAAGATCTACGAATTAACCTTTAGAAGCGCTAACCCGGATGATCCTATCAGACTTTTTTAAGACATAGTATGAAGTCCATATTATTCATAGACGTATTGAAGTATATCAGATATAAGACTTGATAATGCCAATATCATTTTAATTTATTGTCATATTAATCTAATAAAATATTCATTGCGAAAATTGTAAATTTAAATTTAACAAAAGAGGAAAAAATCCAATATACCATTTTATAATTAAAGCTTATATAAAATAACCATAATATATATACATACAGTATATATATATATATATATATATTTTATATACTTTTTTTTTTTCTTTTTTTTCTTTTTCTTTCTTCTTTATCGAGTTAATCCTAATAATTTTTGGGTTACGTACTTAATAATAAATACGGATCATTGTGTCATTATTGAACGTAATATACCCCCAAAAAAATGTGGAAAATGCGATCAATTTCACGAAATCTTTTTATTAAAGTATTTACATTGATTATAATTATTTTATGCATATATCCTTTAAATACGAAAGCACAAATAAGAAAAATTTCATATACTGAAGTTATAGATTATGGAGGCGTACCACCTCATGTGTGGGATGCAAGGACATACGATGATGGTACGGTAGTAGTAAGAATAATTGGAAATTGCAGTTATGAAATGTTTTCTTTAAGAATCATTAATACCGATGGAACGATCGTTATTAAAGATATTAAGTTAGAGGGAGTTCAACAATTTAATTATTGCTTTAAATATAAAAATAATAATGATATTATAAAATATGAATTAATAAGGAAGAATCAAATTTTAGTCCTTTATTATAATGCAACAGATGTTGATGATGTCAATACATACGAAGAATATGGTATTATAATCGATTTTGATGGTAAAATATATGATAAAACATCTTTTGGAAAATTTAAATTTACAGATCAAGTTGAAGTGGAATTAAATATTGATAGAGAAAAAGGATTCATTGTTGTAAAATATTCAGAAGATGAAGCGAGTACGTGGCAACAATATAAAGTTGATTCGGATGGAAAATTTATAGCGTTAGCTAAAGGAGTGATTGATAATAATGTCACAATCGATAATTCTGCAATTTTTCCTACTGTTGATGGAGATTACGCTATTGCATATTATGAAGATTTAACAAATAATAATAATAATAATAGTATTAATGCAATAAAAGCAATAGATTCGTTAGCACCAAAAGGTGAATTATTTGTCGAACTTATAGGTTATAATAAAAATGGTTCAACAACTTTTTTACTTTATCAGAATCAATACTCTGAATTAATATATTCATCAGTATTTTGCGGTTTTAATTACGTGAGAGTTGGTCAAACTTGTTCTTTGATAACCACCAAATCTCGGAATGGAAATTATAATATTAAGATAAACTTCTTATCATCTGGTTCAATTGTTTTGTCTAGTAATATTCATTATAATTTTCCAGTAATTAGTAATATGACTATAGTATTACGTAATTTACCATTTGGTGGTTATTTAGTTTCAAGTAGTACGAAAGCTCAAAATTTTCTATATATTTTTTTATTTACTGAAAATGGTACAAGTATATCTTTACAATCTAATATAGTGGGTAATTATTTAATATTACCAAATAATACTGTTTTGTTCTCCAGGATTGGAATGAATAGTAATTCTTATAATTCTTGGAATTTCGATGTGATTGACGTTCCTAAATCTGTAGATGATAACGGATATTTAAATGCAAATATAATATCAACATATCCTGAGATTAATTCTTCAGTAGGTTTAGGTATTAATAATATTTCAATTAATTATAATCATCCAATAGAATTATCAGATGGTAGATTATTAATATATCAACTATTAGACGATCAAACAATTTTATTACGTCAAAATATATCTTGTACTGATGATAATTCAAAATGCAAGATATTTAATAATAATAAAAATGTTATCATACAAATATTTAGGTTTACTTTTGGTATAAGTGGAAATTACTTTATCAAAATTGAAAACAATTTTGTTAAGGATATAACTTATAAAGAACCTTTATTAGGCGTTGGGGCACATATTTGGAAATTTAATTTTATAAATGAAAAAGAATATGATATTACTCGTTCAACATCTGGTTTAGTTCGATTAACCGTACCTGGAACAAAATATTTTCAAAATTTATCAATTAGTGATCAAGATCAATTTGTTGATCAATTATTGAATGATATAGCTGAAACGGTTCAAATACAATTATCTCGTCTAAGTAAAAGTAATGTAAACCAAATTGATCCCAGTTCAAATCAAAAACAGCTTTTGATCTCTATATTTATTGAGGAAACTAAAAATCAAGATGAAAAAGACGTTAACACTATAATAAGAGATATTAATGACGCAATTATATATAAAGATCAAACTCTTATTGGAATGGGTGATTCTACCACATATTTGGACTCCAATTATGGTTTTGTCCCTGCACGTAAGTATTAAAATTGTTATATTTCAGTCATGATTAATTAACATATGATTTATTTGTTTTAAAAAATTTTTTGAATTGAAATATTTAGCAAATTATTGGCAAGAATATAAGTTCAAATTATTGGGTATAATAATATCTGTGATAATATTAGTCGTTCTTTTCGTTCTTGCTTATTTAAGAGAGAGAGAGGTATTTCTAATTAAAATCTTGAAATTTAATTTAATTTTTTACTTTTTTAATTTAAATTTTTTATATTTAAAACCTATTAATTCTTTTAGGGTCGTAATTTTGCTATTTTTAAAGTCGCCATATTTATTTTTGATTTTATTGTGGATATTCTTTTTTTAGTAAATAATTCTAAAGACATACCACGTCTCTACATCCCAAGGTACAATATATTAATATCAAAGAAAAATATCAAAATAAACCTATATAATTAATTAATATTCTTTAATTTTTTGCAACAGCTTAATATTCTTTACATTACCAGTAGGATTTAATATAATAATGGCGTTTGTAATAATTTCAGGGGAAAACATGAGACCAGAATTTTTTCATTGGTTTACGAAAAATTTTAGACTTGCAAGTGTATTTACAGTATTATCAGGGGCCAATGTTGAAATCTTAAGTATTTTAGGATCAAACTTGGCGGGATTAAAAATCTTTCAAGCTCCATTTTCCAATTCCGCTAAATCAATAATATTTTGGGGTGGTATTACGAACATTTTTATTGAAGATATTCCTCAAGTAATCATTCAGGTAATTGCAATTTTTTTAAGATTATTATAATCTATTATTTTTTTTATATTTGACGGTATACTAATTTAATCTTTTATTTTTTTTTTTTTAGATATTATTTGAATTTAATTCAATAACATATGACATTATTCCAAAATTAACTTTATATACTTCAGTTATAAATCTTACAATTAATATTGTAGGAAGATTATATCAAGTTGTAAGTTATATTCGAAATAGAAGGCATTTACATTTCTTTTAGCAAATATGTATTTTTTCAAGAGATGTATTTTTATATGTAATTATAAATTAGCAATTTAAGATGTTTATTTAAAATCTTATTATATATTATATAAATAGATAAGTATTTATTAAGAAAGTTTTATACTTTATTATTAGAAATTATATTGTAAGAAAATCATAAATAAATTAGTATAATTTTATTAACTGTTAAGTTTATAAATTAAAAATTATCTTTTTTTTAACACTGAAAAAAAATCTTTAAACTAAGTATTATTGGATATGTAAAAGTATCATTGCCTGAATTTAACTGAAGTATGTTAAAAAATTATATAACTGAGAGGGTAATTTTAACGCTCACCCCAGGTGAAAATCACCTGGTCATATGATTTTTAAAATTTATACATGTAAAGTAAAACTGATTTTTTAATAAATTATAAATTAAAAATTTTTCTCTTTACTTTATTAAAGCATTATAAAATTTGATAGCTAAAATGTTGACCAAAATGGTGAAATTATATTCTTAGCAAGAAAAATTCGAAAATTAGTACCATTATGAAAAATATGGATATCTTTGCAAACATAATACCTACACTCATGAAAATTAAAATGTAAGTGTTTTCCACCTTGCTGAACAATTTTCACTTAATAAAGAAAGTCGATTTCATTTGAGTAAAGTAGTGAAATTACGCTCTGAATTTAATAAACAAAAAATGAAAAATTCGAAAATTATTGCCATTACGTAAACGCAAATATCTCTACAAGTATATACCTACGCTCATGAAATTTAAGATATAAGTAGTTTCGACATCGGTGAACAACTTTACTTAATAAAGGAAGTTGATTTCATTTGAGCAAAGTAGTGAAATTACGCTCTGAAATTAACAAACAGAAAACGAAAAATTCAAAAATTATTGTTATTATAAAAAACATGAATATTTCCACAAGTATTATACTTACGTTTATGATATTCAAGATATAAGTAGTTTCGACATAGCTGAACAACTTTCACTTAATAAAGAAAGTTGATTTCATTTGACTAAAGTGACGAAATTATGCTCTGAAGTTAGAAAATATAACACGAAAGAAATTTAGAAATAAATATACTATGAATTGTATAAAATACCTGTAGCTTCACAAGATATAAGTAACAAAACTGAGTCAAAGTGTTTAATATGTGTTAATAACAAAGCTTTTAAAATTTTTTTTAGAAAAGAAATTTTTTTTTTTTTATAATCATAACGTGATAAATAAATAAATAAATAATTGTGAAATGTAACACAAATCAAGGGGGTGAATTTCACCTAAGGTGATTAAAATTAAAAAATAACCTAGGGTGAATTTTAAATTAATTCTATAATTATTATTAAATATATAATATAAAATAAAGGAAAAGAGAAAAAAAAAGTTCAAATAGTATAGAACATATGTTTGTTAATTAAGATATTAAGATTATAAAAAATGTATATATATTATAACAAATGTAAATTTTTAATATTTCAAAACTGAATCATCTTTTTCATTTTCATTTTTTTCATCATTAATAGCAATAGAAGTCTCTTTACTATCTTTTGTAATAGCAGCCATTTCAGGTTCTGGTATTGAAATATTAATAGGAGATGATGATGGTGGTAAAGTATGTTTAATTGAATTTCTTAATTTAGTTCTATGTAAACTATTAGGAGATGTATTCCTTGAATAAAAGAATAATGCAGGTTCACCATTATCTAATGAACCTTTTTGAACTTTGTAAAATGCTTGCAATTTACGATTACGACTCGATGATTGAATTAATTCTCTATTGTCCCATCTTGATTTTGATAACATTAATGTAACAACTGTAGTAAAAAGGGCGAAATATGAAAGAGCTGTACTGACAAGGAATAAACGACATCTCGTTTGTCCATCAAATGTGGTTATCTTATATGGAATCGCACCTAAACTACAATTTAATCCATAACCGAAAATGGCGGGTGTTATATTCAAAAAACCTATTTATTATAAAAAAAAAAATTTATTATTAGAAGGATGTAACTCAAAAAAATAATAATTTATATAACAATTTTGTCATCGAAATCATGTTTCTATAATGTTGATCAGGGAGTTGACGGGGTTGTAATGACCAGCATGTAACACAATTATTGGATAGGGGTCACCCCTTCATAGTGACGTATATTTGCTCTCAGGTCTTATGAAAACAAAATATATTTTCGGGATTTTGCCTGTCGGATTTTAAGTTTCGGGATTTCATACCATGCCCGTCTGAATAAAGCCGATTAATTTCAATGATTTTTTAAATCTTAACGTAGTTTCATAAACAATTTAAAATTATATTACAAGATATTTAATTTTAGTGTTTGATTTTATAGTTATCATGTTAAATTATACTAATTTATCCTATTTGTAAAAAAAAAAATTTTACTAAAATTATCACAATTATTAATCAAATTCGAAATCATTAAAATACAAAATTTCTCTTTGAAAGAAAATTTGTATCATGACAGCGTGACGTTCGCTGTAGGGTTGGTTCGGTCCCGGCAAAGACCGGTCCTGTATCGGTCTTGGGACCGGTCTTCACGGTCTTCAGTCCGATATAGAATTTATCTTCTAATATAAAAATGATAAATTATATATTATTAATAGTTTTCATTTCGAAATATCAAAATTTTCATATTTTGGTATTTTGTAATATCAATATCATTTGATTCCTCAATGATGCTTAAGTACGAGGAATAATAATTTTATTTTTATTTCCGGTTGCAATTTTTTTTTTTGACAGTCGTAAAGGGTTTAAAATTCTATCCAGTATTTTTACTCTTAAACTTTGGGATTTTATTTGGGTCATACTTAGTTTACAATCATACAATGACAACAAAGGTATCTGGTAATAATAATAATGTCATAATTTTTAGTGCGACCTGTATTTCATTATCTCGTTGACCAACAATACCGCTGTTATAAATATAAACAAGACAATTTTAAAAAATTTAAGGACCGGTCGGTCAAAAGACCGGTTCGGTCCGGTCCTGGCTGAAAGATCGGTCTTTTTGGAACCGTACCGGATTGGACCGTATCAATCTAACCCTACCGTTCGGTTCGCTTCGGACATTTAACGGTCACTGTTACCTAGTATATTTTTAAATAAATGATATAATACAGTAATAATAATTTTGGTTTTATGTGTTAGATGTTAAATATAGTAATTAAAAGAATATTAGATTAAACATTAATATAGTGAATGCATTGAATTTTACTCGCACAATTTATTTTTTTTTTCGTGTAACTTTTTTTGCAATTTTTTAAAAAATGACGAAATTTGTTTATCATTTGATTCGTTTAAAGAAATAAATAAATTATTTTTTTTGTACAAAAATTCTTGTATAACTAAATGAAAGAAACTATAATTCAATATATAATGCTTTTACCGGGGGGAAGATTTCACTATCATGTGACTTTTTATCTATTTCTTGTAATTTATATTATTCTTGGCGAAAAAAGAAAAATTCAAAAAAAAAGTTTATTAATTGTGATTCTTAACAAATAAATAATAAAGCTTAATAAAGATTTCATAACATTTGCTAGCACGCCCTGTGATATTAATGTATTAAAATGTTCTATTTGTTTAATTAAATTCTTATGACGAAGATCTCTATATTATTTAATTCTCGTGTAGTTTAAAAATTAATTATTTTGATTTATTTTGTATTAAAAAGATTAAATTTTTGATACTTCCTTCCATAGAATCTAATTTTCCAGAAAATTCTTTTTCCATTGATTGAATTTTTCCTTGCAATATTCTAGTTTCATCTTGATCATCATCTTGAATAATATTAATTGGTTTAGTAGTTGAAAATTTTGTTAATATTTTTTCTCTATCTTCATCAATAAACCAACATAAGGATAGTGGAACTTCTTGTTCTTTTGAAGCAATAGAATCCGTTTCAGAATAATAAAGTTCTAGATAATTATATTCTCCCCCATTGTCGCTATCATCACCATTATTATCATCATCATCCCATGGATTTTTGTCATCAACCTTGGACAAGAAATTTTCATGATGCTTTCTAGCTTTCTCGGATTTTCTTAACCATTCTTCAATATAATCAGATTTTCCGATATAATAAATATATCGAGGATTTCCTCTTTTACTTCCAAGTGGCTTTTCGATCGTTTCATAATCTTCGATCAATTCCGCTCGATATTCTAATACGGCATGTCTACCAATTTCTTTCGCATCTTCATATGCACCACTAATATATATATAAAATATTATAAGTTTATTTTTTTTTGTAATTTATAAACATAACATTTTTAATAAAAAACTTACGTCATGATCGCGATCAACATATTTTGTAAAATTGTAACGAGAAGGATACTACCAATAATAGAATAAACATCTACTGGCCAAAAATTCCACTGTTCTAATTGATCCCAACGACCACCTGTCCAAAAGAAAACTGATTCCACAGATTTACCAAAATTTGAGTAAAAATTATCCGATATGCTATTCACATCAATAACTTGTTCCACTTTATATGGTAATGGTTCCTTATTCTCATCAGTCCCATCAGTATTATCAGTGATTTGAAAGGAGGAACCATCAGGTTTAATACCTATGGTTTCAGTACTATTAAGTAAAACAAACCTATTATAAAAAAAAATTAAAATTTTATGAAGTTTTAGTAAAAATATCGATCAATAGAATTATGTTGAGTTACTTATTTTAACATCTTACTCACATAGCATGACCAAATCCGAGGACAACCACTAGGATAAAGATTAAGAAAGGCATAATTTGCTTAAAGATATTGACGATAATATAAATGTAAGCTCCAGATCTTTCAAAATATCGCAACAACTATTTTTATAAAAAAATTTAATATTAAATATTTATACGTTATGTATATTAAATATTCATTCAAAATCTTACCAAAAAAAGTTCCAACCACATTACTAAAACTGCAAACGAAACAAGAATAGTAACAATTTGACTTTGAGTTGTATATTTAACATCATTTTCTTCTTCTGGGGAAAATGCGGCACTAATTTCATAGTACAAACTTATACTAGTTATCACTAATGGAAAAATGACTGAAAACAAGTCAAAAAAATTGTAAAGTCCAAAATATCTTCTCCATCCCTCATATTTTAATTGAATTCTTTCAGTATTCAATAAATAAAATCCCAACCAATAAAATAAAACAAGAGCAATGATTAACCCCACAAAGTCAAAACCTCCTTCTACTTGTTCTATTTGAATTGCACCATTTAACAATGCAAAAATTATTGCAAATGCAAGGTATATAAGTCCATGTCTTAAGAAATGATTTCTTGCTGCGTTCCATTTAAAGTCAATTACTGCGGCCATTGATGGATTATCATAAATTTCTGCACTATTGTCTTCTCTTATCATTCTCAAGAATGGACTCAAGTGATTCTTTTTTTTAATCACATGACCACGAGGCCAAAATAATAATTTTAAAAATCTGAGAGGAATCTTCCAGTATTCTTCTCGTTTATCTTCAAATTTCTCGGGATATACGGTAAAATCTGGAAGTGGCACCATGTAAACCTGATTAATAAGTGAAGAACTATTGGTAGATATTGTTTTGTTCACTATATCTGAAAAAATCTTCCCTCCACTAAAAAAATAAAAAATGATTAGAAATAAAATAATTGTATTTGTTTGTGACACAATCAGTTATTAATTATATTAATATTTACCTTTGTTTCCCCTGAACAAATGATTTTTGTAAGAAATTATTACGTTCTTCTTTCTTCTTGATGAGACCCAAATTTACGTTTAATGCATGAACATCTTTGTGATTACTTTTATTCATGTCACTATCACGAATTTTAGATTGATCCAAGTAAACTTCACTAGCACCAAAACAAGGTTTTTGAAATAATTCTTTAACATAGAATTCTAAATTATATTCATAAAGGATTGGAATCGCTTTAGCAACAGTAAACATCCAATTTGAAGATTTTAAAGCATTATTTGAATAATAATCTAATAAATATTTAACTATAATCGTATCTTTACGATAACCTCCTTTTGTACATACGATAGCGGTTTCAAGATCGGTCTCTTTTATGAGTTGTCCACCCCAAGAATTACATCTTGGAATATGCAAATGATTATTTTTCCCATCAGATATAGAAAATAAAATATTTTTAATGATATACGTGCAGTTACCGCGAATTAAATTTGCCATAATATCAAAACGTATATCCAACATTCTCCATAAACCAAAACTTTTAGTCAAATATTTTTTAATGATGCGTTCAGTTTGTTGAACCAAATCATCAAATTGATGTTGTCTTTTTGGATCTAAAGGTTGATCTTTTTTCTCGTTAAAAAATTCTAATGCTTGACAAGCATGTACTGGACAATTGACTTTTTCAGGCCATTCAAGTATAATTTTTTCTCCAGGTTCGGAAAGAGAATTTCTAGAAGGAATATATAATATTAATGAGAATTCTTTATGACCAATTTCCAAAGATTGAATTTGCATTGGTCCATTAGAATTATTCGTCCAAATATATTCAAGAACTCTCGTAGATGATGAAAATGATAGTTTTGAAGATGATGTTTCACTTTTTCTTTTATGCCATACTTGAACGGTGGATTCTCCAATAAATAATTGAATGGTTTTATTATCATCAAGATAAACCGAAGTACGTTCATAATTTTTATTTAATATCCAAGGTTCAGGAGTCCTAATGATAATTCTATTTTCGAATTTAGAGCCCAAATAATTTCCAGAAGAATCGTAAATTGAATGATAATTTGTGGTATTATTAGTTGCTACGGCAGTTGGTGAGAAAGAATTAGACTTATTAAGTCGAATGATGTTTTTCGTATTACAATTTATAGGATCTATTAATTTAACTATTTCTGAATCATCTAATAAAGAAGTAATATTTCCATAATCTGTAATTGTAATAAGATATCCTGAAGAATTGGCCAACTTTTGATGATGTTCACATTTATCGGGAAATAATGAAAAAGTATCATTGATTTTTCTAACACAATTATCAGTACTACTAAATAAATCCCAAACTACAATAATAGGAGTAATAACAGTTTCTGAAGTATCTTCTTTATATCTTTCTTCTTCAATAACGATCAATAATTTTTCATCATTCTTAACAAAATCAAAAAAAAGGATTTGAATATTCGTTTCCTTAAATATTTTTGTTGTAACTTCCAAACCATTCTCCATTAAATAAATGGTAATACTATTTGCACCACGACAATAAGCAAATAAAGATTCATTATTTGAAATAGCAAAACAAGAATAACCTCTTCCTAATACTGAAGCAGCGGTTTCTTCGGATTTTTGAAAAGTGTTTTCTAATAAACCTGTTTTCAAATTATACATTTCAACAGTTTGTATTTTATCTTTATAACTTTCTACTACAAAACGACCTTTCACAATATTTTGTTGAATAAAAAAACTAGAAATTTCATTACTTGATAATTTACTGGGTAAATAAAAATGTTCAACGGTTTTATCAGAAAAGAATTTAAACCAACCCTGATCATAATTTTCATTTACCATAAGGTTCATTTTTTCATGATGAATAGATAATCTTGAAATCCCATAAGCATTTATAAGAATCAAATCTGTCTTGTCACAAACTGAGCTGTCATCATCCAAGAATTTAATTATACCGCCCATATCATTAATTGCAGAAGAAATTCTTGCTTGTCTTGCAACAGAAATAACCCAAGTATGCTTAATAGTTGAATCAGCATTATTGACGTCATCATCAAAGCAAGAGACGGCAATTAACACATCAGTTGTTTTATCAGGCAAAGTAATTTCATTAGACACAGTTAAACTCCATATTACAGCAGGAGCATCAGCATTTTTAAAATTATTATAATTCAATGTATATAATTTTGAAATATTATCGGATTGACATAATTTTAATTGATAAGTTGTGGTATTTAACGTTACTATCTGAGTACCATCTGGACTTATAGCAATATATTGATGACCATTATATATATTCTTTTTGTTATTAAACTTTGATTCGAAAGAAGCGATCGACCTAGTCTCCGCTTTTTCTTCGTCGCTAAATAAATGCGATGGTGTTTGATTAATTTTCTGGAATGCTAACATGATTTTATACACTACACGTTATATGTTATGTCTTATATGTATTCAAAAAAAAAAAAAATGATTTTATATTAATCCTTTCAAAGGATTAATTGGAAAATAAGGTAAAAGGAAATTTTATTCTAAAAAAAAAATTTATTTTTTTTTACTTTTTTGATTTTTTGATTTTTTCATGAAAATTCTTTATTTATATAGTTATTAAACTAATAATATAACCTTATTTTTATATAATTTGTAACATATCACACAAAAATATCGTTCATATGTACGTGAAGGAACATTTCTTTTTTAAGGTAATAATTAATGGCGTACAGTGATAAATAACGTAAATAAAAAACGGGCTTAATATGGTAAATCATTATTATATGCAATGTTGTACAAAATCACCTACAAAGAATAAATATTTAATACCAACTTTCCTTTATTGTCTAAATTATTAATCTGAAATTCAATGCAAATGCGAGAGGAAATCAATCATGCATCCGCCATTTGTAATTTCGTAACAAACGGAGATTCCGTGCATAAACAAACAAATGTTTGAAAAATACGATATATTGTATATTTTCAATGTATGCATTATATTACTATCAATTATACTCCGAAACTCCGACCTCTGTCAAGTGATCAGTAACGAATTTTGTAAAGCGAATAAATCCTTTGATTTAATGAATATCGATTTCAATTAATATTATAATTGATCCCGTTTTGAGCTAACAAATTTAAAGAATTTTAAAGTTTGAATTTTATTTTGAATTCTTACATTAAATTATTAAAATTGTAATAATTAAATTAGTTACTGATCGCTTGACAGATTCGGAGTTTCGGAGTATGGCTGATTAGGTACTACAATGTATAGTATTATCTATATTATCTTCAGTTATTCTATCAGTGAAACTTTTATCTCCGGGGTAATACCTGCAGATTCTAAAACCAACATTTTTTTTTTAAAAAAAAAAAAATGCTTATTTTATATTAAATTTTTTATTTTTATTTTCATTTTAACCATTTTAACCTCTAATTGTATCACCCTTAATGTTTCATGCTATAAAAAGACATTTTAACTTGTTAATTTTTTTTACAAGTTTTTTACGTCTTTTGCACAAATGTTTTTTACAAGTTTTTTAAGTTTTTAAGTTTTTTGAACTTAATAATTTTCTTCGTTCTTCGTTTAAAAATGTTAATTAAATTTCACTATCGATTGTTATTAAAATTTATAAATATTCTCCCACTTGAGTTTTCCGATAGATTAAAATTAAATTAAATCAGAAAATGTTAGCTGAATTTAACTTGTGGGGAATTATGGAATATAATTTCATTTTTTTTTTATTTTTTTTTTATTTTTAGAATTTGAAATACTGCAATGTGTCGATCAATAATGTAACGATATTCCTTAAAAATTTAACAATTCAGTCAAAGAATTTTTTCGTCTCACATAATTTGTTACTGTACTGATTTGTTTGTATTACACATTTGCATTTCGATTTAAAAAACAGATCTTTTTCGGAGTTTCGGAGTTATTTTCTTAGTATTAACTAAGTTTAACAACAATAGCAATAATCATAACAATAAGTATTATTTAAATAACGGTAAGAAAATAAAAAAAATTAAATAAATTAAGTCGAAAAAGAAGTTTTTTTTTATTTTTAAAAGAAATCTTTAAAATTAATAAGTCTTAATACTTTTTCATTTTTCTTTCTTATTTTGGAAAAAAAGATTTGTTTTTGTTTAAAATTCAGTTTATAATTTCTTTGTTTAATATGATAATTAAAATGTTTTCATTATTAAAAATGTATTAAATAAATAAAAATGGTATTAAATGACTAATTATGATTTATGATGTACCCCTAATAATTTCGGAGATAAAACTAAGAGAAAGAAAAGTTGATGAATATTTATTTTCGTTATTAATATCGTATAAAATTTGCACACCAAAAGGAATTATTTTTAAATGTAATTTTTTTTTCATAACATATGCTTGACGGTGAACTTAGGCGATGACATTCCTTGTGATTGGTTGTTATACTAATTTGCTATCCTGAATAGGAAGGAGAAATTTACTAATTTAGTTAGTTTTTATGCGCTAAGTATTTTATATTATAAAATATATTATTATATTATAAAAAATATTGATATTGATATTGATATTGAGTTAATTCGATCATGATCTGCGGCATGATCTGAATCAGCTGCAATTTGCGGTTGCATGAGTGTTTAAATTGTTTATTGTATTTTTATTGGTAATTTGGTAAAAAAAAAAAAAATTAGTAATAAATTCAGAATAAATTGTTTATTGTATATCTTTGGTAATTTGGCAAAAAAAATTTAAAATTAATAATAAATCCAGAATAAAATTCTGATTGGAATTTATATTATATAATTATTTATATTTATTTATTTCTAAAGGGTTTTGAGTTCTATTGTTTAATTGTTAAAATAGAAAAATAATCCACGCCAAATAACTAAAAAACTAGTTTTTTTGCTCAATATTTAAAATCGGTGGATGATCATTTATAAACGTACACGTGATTCTGATGGCTAATTGAATCTAACTTTAATTTCAAACGCCAATTAATCACACTAACTGAAATTGTATTTAAAATCATTCCGAAGTTTATTGGAAATATTTAACATAAAAAAATTCCGATCGTATTAGAATTGATCGTTGAGATCATTCTCGAACTTACCAAATTTGTCACATAAAATGAAATTGTGGTTATACTTTTGTTCAAAAACAATCTGACGCCAAATGTTTTGAACAATCTCTCTATCTTACGCTAATTCTATGAATTCAAAAACATAATTTTAAATGATTTTTTGCGAATTATTTATTTTTAACCAAAATTTATAGGTTTAAAAAGTAATCTCATATAAACTAAAAAAAAATTTATATAATACTACTAATTCAATGTGGAAAGTGTAGCAAATGGCGTATAATCTATTCAAAATCAAAGTTATCTTCACATGGAAGTACAGATTTTAGATGAAATTCAATATACATGTGGGATATTTCTTACGAAATATCTATCTCTAAAGGTATAAATATACGAAGCTCTCATAGCACAAATGATTCTTTTAGAAAAATTATTTTCTAGTCCTGTCGTCGTCTGGTAATCCATGGACATACCAAGAGGCAATAGCGGAACATGGAGGTGAAGTTCACTTATTTTCGCCTTTGATATTATCATCCTTTGAGCCATGACTTTTAGAGACTTCGGAGTGTGCGCGCTACAATACTTGACCACACGAGTCGGATCGTCAAAAAGTACATGATAGAAATAATGACGTAATATACCAATACCAATACCAATACAAATCCAAGGGATTTGCAGATCCATTTTGGTATCACGTAATTTAGCATTTGCATTTGTATTCGTTGTTAGCTTCAGATTCAGTTCGAATAATTCATACAAAATAAACAATTGATAAAAACTTTAGAGTTTAAGACTCTAAGAAAAATAACTGAATATAGCTTTTTATCAAAAATTTGCAGGATAGGAATCGATATTGTTCGAAAATGTTCGCAATAACCCACTACCAATTATCAACAACTTTGGGTATTCCAATTAGTAACCCAATATTTAATTCAATTTAAGACATAAAATTTTACATACCCCAATAAATAGAAGAAAAGAACCATCATTTAAAGGTTGGAAACCTAACTTGTGATCCTGAAACCAGATGATGCAAAATATCACACCCGTGACATTCAACTCAGAGGACTACCTGCGCCTTTGGCACACTCAAAAAAAAACAGAATTTCTGAAATAAGAAGAGCCGCAGCACAAAAACGATGGGCTGGACATAAAAAGAAGGAACGAGCTAAAAGATGAACACCGGAACATCGAGCTCTATAAATAATATAAAAACCACTTAATCACTCAACTACTAACCAAAATCAATCTGGTTTCAGGATCACTTAAGTAATCTTTAAATGAAGGTTCTTTTCTTCTATTTATTGGGTTATATAAAAATTTGTCCTAAATTGTTCTCCTTTCTCATCATCTCCTGCTATTATTAGATCATCAAGATAAACTTTGAACCAAAGGTTCTAATTTAATCTTCACAAATACATTGTCAACATATCTTTGCCATTGTGAAGGCGCGTTAACAATACCAAAAGGCATTCACGTCCATTCAAATTGAAATGTGTAACGAAGGCTGTCTTTGGGCGATCTTCTTTTCGTACCTGTCAATTCCGATTGTAGTCGTAATGGTCCCCATTCAATAATCACTCTTCTACACCATTTTGATTATGGTTTAAATATATCATGTCAATTTCGACCTCTTTTTCAGGCCATTTTTGGTTTAGCGCTTTAAAAACGCTTTCTGAAACATATGATTTATTTGAAATGGAATTTAACTTCGACGAATTCTTATCTCAACAATTATTGTCAAAGTCAATAAATACTCTAACATGCAATAGTTCCACTAAAATTCCATATTGTTCAAGTGGATTGATTAAAGAAGCACTTTGTTTTAACTATGGGGCAGAATGTGAAAAAAATAATTATGGAGAATATTTTCCATATCAAGTAAACGGAAAAATGTTTAAATTACTATTCGTAATAAATAGCTTGAATCACGTGATAAATTTTTTTATATATTTGAGCGAATTACCCGGCCGGGTACGTGCGAACCGTGAATATAAATTTGCGTGCTCGCAATTTTGGGATAATCAGCACCGCGGATTTCCATATTAAGATAGTTCCTGATAGTATAATTCAAATCGCTACTGTATGATGTAACGGAGTTATGATATCAATAACTAGGAAGTAGGAACCGTTATCAAATCCAAAGCGCAGTTATCATTGCGCATCATCACGTACCGGATACGAATAATATATATATTCCTTCGTTACACTTCGGAATAACAAATTGAATAAATCGAAATATATTATATTAAATGGGCACTTAGTAACTAGTACCGTATTCAAATATTGTAATCCATTGTAAATAGCGTAAAATAAAAATAAAAAAATAACAATACTTGCGTAACACAATTGTAAGTATTTACTGTACGATTTTTGAAAACCAGCCGTGCAATACTCCAACGTACTTATTTTGTATTATACTATATATTATTGAGCCATTAGATTACGTGCATAACTGATTTTATAAATGAACCCGCCAACTTGAGGTTGATAAGTTTGGGTAGAAGTACCTTACTATGTCCGAAATAAATACTGCGGAATACTTTTATGCGTAATTTAATAACCAATAACTGTATCACAATTAAGTACTTTGTATGGAAATAAACATGATGACCTGAATCTGAGTTTGATATTCGATGCATTTGATAGATCCAGATGTAAATATTGGTAATATAAATGAACCATATGGCTCATAAGTCATTAAAAAAGTTTTAAAAGTTTGATACTATTATGTAATATGAGCCATAGTTATTTCTAAATATAGATATATTAGCCATTAATTACATCAGTTGAGTAGATTAATAGCAATATTCATAATAGACTAATTTTGACTCATCATGTGATGAGTAAAAGGGGATAAAATCAGATCACGCATTTTCTGGGACTCGCCTCTCTCTATTCTTAGGACTTCGTTATTTTCTTTGGGACTTTTTACTTCCCCTTTTCGGACGTCTCTCTTTTCTTTAGGAGAACTTATTAAATTCCCATGCAACTCTCGAACTTTTTATTTTTAAATTAAAAAAAAAATTTCTTTTTTCCCAATTTTTTTTGTAATCTTTTCGCGTAGTACCTTTCGTATGCTTCCAAAAGAAAGGCCTAGAACGAATAATAGCAAAAAGAAGAGAACAAAGAAGGGAACCACTAAGTCAGCATGATAAGAATGATAAGTTATGGTTCAGTGGCGGAGCTGTACTGATGGTGCTTAAAGTTGACCGTAGACACTCCCACTTGTATTCTTAACGAAATTTTTTATTATCCCTGATATTAGGTGAGTTATTGTGTTTTGAGCTTTAATTACAATGAAGGCTTTTTTACGATTTAGTTCATGGGTCTGCTCACGTATATATATGTCTAAGGTTTTCCAAATATATTTATTTGTCGGGATTCTCTGTGAGTCTAGATGAAATCTGGTATATATGCCTGAGTAAGCGTGGATGAGCGTTCTGATAATAGCCTAGTAATTCAATAACTTATTTATCTGAGTGATCATAGGATAACCTTTTTATTTCTATTTATAGATCATTATTGATGGTTCATTTTCCCTGTCTTAAAGGATACTGTAGACGTTTCTATTTTCTTTGGGACTTCTTACTCTCTTTTCTTTAGGAGAACTTATTAAATTCACACGCAACTCTCAAACTTTTTACTTTAAGTTATGGTTCGATCAGTGGCGGAGCTGTACTGATGGACATGGCTTGTGCTTAAAGTTGACTGTAGACACTCTCACTTGTATTCTTAACGAAATTTATTTATTATCCCTGATATTAAGTGAGTTATTGTGTTTTGAGCTTTAATTACAATGAAGGCTTTTTTCATGGGTCTGCTCACGTATATATATGTCTAAGGTTTTCCAAATATATTTATTTGTCGGGATTCTCTGTGAGTCTAGATGAAATCTGGTATATATGCCTGAGTAAGCGTGGATGAGCGTTCTGATAATAGCCTAGTAATTCAATAACTCATTTATGTGAGTGATCATAGGATAACCTTTTTATTTCTATTTATAGATCATTATTGATGGTTCATCTTCCCTGTCTTAAAGGATACTGTAGACCGTCATGGATGAAGTTGGTACAAGCGATGAAGCTATACCACATAATTTACTTTCTTCCCTTCCTTTTTGGGCTGCTTCAGCAGTTTACATTTCACAGCTAGAACGTCTTACAGGCCAACGTATACAAGACTTGAGCTTCTCTCTTTTTCACTAGGACTTCAGTTTGGGTTGGTAAGTATCATTTTATGTTCTTACAAGAGAAAGAAATTCATGTGTACATGGCTCTGTTTGCTAGGCAAAATTATATTTTGCTAATGACCAGCTGTAGCCTGAGGTTCTATAGTTGAGTGATTTATGATGAATATTGTGGCAATGTTCAGTGAAGATATTTCATATATTTATTGTATTTAGATTTTAATTTATTTTATACTATAAGTGATTAATGTTATTTATTTGTTAGATTTATTTAATAGTATTTAGTGAAGATTTCATTTATTTGTATTTGTTATTTGTATATAATGTATTAGTGTATATAAATTCACAACTATAGCTCGTGACTGTAGGAGGTACCTCTATGCACCTTGCTCTTTTGCATGATAGTACTTTCTCATAGGGTTTATATGTTTGTCATCATACTAATCCTTTTATATTTTTTCAGTATTATCAACCAAAAATTTGTAAAATTCAAATATATAAGTTTAGTGGATTAGGACAATTAATGATGTATGTAAATTTCAATAAAGTTAATAGATTTTCCCATAATAATGAAATCATTAAGCTACATTAGCTAAAATACATGAGTATAAAGTTGAAAAAATCATTCCAAAGAAAGTTAAATGTTAATTCGAATAAATCTCCTAAACATGATGTACTGTATACTGTAATAAAGAGAGAAAAAGAGTATTGTCCCACGATTGTACATACCAGTAATTATCCGGTATTTTATAATTAATGATCATTATGTATCAGGCAAACAGGCACTCAGACCGAATAATTATTAATTATCATCACAGTAAGGTGATGGCCGACTGGTCAAAATTATAATTGGTCAAAGTTAAATGCCGTTCTACTACATTGAATCAAACTTTCCATTTTTTTTTTAAAACCTAAGAAAATCTTCTTATAGTCATAACTAGCGTGGAATTAAGTATCAAAGTTGGCACATTCATAAATGTGACTTGAAATGTAAATTCGTTTTTTATCGTAGGATAGAAAACAAGTCCTACATTTTCCCTATTTTATTATTTGTACCTTGTAACGCAAAGGTTATTTAAGTAAAATAATTATTTTATTTTTATATATGTACTCCGTGAAGTTCCCATACAAAGATCTTCAAAACACTTACAACAAATACTCTTTTTCGGTAACGATCTACTCATACGTTTAAGGAAATACTTTTGGTGAAATTTTATTAATCATTTAACATTTAATCATTAATCATTAATCATTAATCATTAATCATTAGTCATTAGTCATTAACCATTATTGAGTAGAGTAGCAGCCCACCCTACCACCTTGCGAACTTGGGTCTTAAAAGGTAATCAATAAGCCCCAGCGACGACTAAATTTAACCAAATTCACAGCCACAATAAAATTGTTTATTATTAAGGAAATATTGAGGCTTAACGAACTGCAGTTATTTATTATTAAAAAAAAAAAATTACGATCTACTTGTACGTTTAAGGAATAATTTAATGAAAATCCTAAATAATAATAAAAAATAAATAATTGTGAAAAAAAAAAATAAAAAAAAAATTTTCATTACGAAAATGATTTGAAAAAAGGTAATCAATAAGCCCCCAGCGGCTAATTTAACAAATTCGCAGCCACAATAAAATTGTTTATTATTTAGGGCTTAAGAAAAAAAAATTTGCGATCTACTTGGAATAATTTGGTGAAAATCCTAATTAATAATAATAATAAATTTTTTTTTTTACGAAAATGAATTTATTTATTACATGTCAATTAACGTTCATTTACTGATCACCGTACTTGTTTTGGAATTTTGGCCGTATGTATTTATTACTACCACTAAAGTTACAGGTACAAAGATCGTACTTGTAATAATACAAGCGTGATTATTATAAGGGTGTTCAAATTGTGCCCATCTGATAATTAAGATAAAGAAGCTGAAATAGGTCTACTAAAAATCTAAAATTTTTACATCCGCAAATCAATCTTATGTCTCACATGACGAATAATAAAAATTCTTTAAAAAATTGATTTTTTATATTTGTGATGAATAATAATTTCATTTATATACTATATAATAATTAATAATAGTGCTCCGCAAAATTCGGGTCTAACCCGGATAATTCAACCCGAGTGAATTTTAAATCGGGTCGGTACTAACAATTTTAATAACCCGTGACCCGCATGACCCGACCCGTCAGGTTGGGTCATTCATTTCCTTGACTCGAGTTTTGACCCTGGATGATCATTAAAATCACTAATCACATATCAATTACGCGTTAATATTGATTATGTTTATATAATTTTGTTAGATGAATGAGGTAGTATATGCTCACTTAGCGAAAATTGCTAGAGACACCTTGCAATTACGGGTATGTGTATGAATTATTATTTTAATTATTAACATTACATTAACTAATAAGTTGATTTTGATGATTAATAAAACAACCAGCATTCCAGTAGTTTCCGGTGGAACCGATTTGATAGCTGCAAAAAGATGTAATCTTAAAGCAGATACAATTATAGCATGCATGTGTTTAAAGTCCTGGCAGACGTAAAGTATAGTAAAATTTCTGTTAAAGCAAGTGATATAATTTCAATTTTATAGTTCAAATATAAAGCAATAAATAAACAGGAATTTAAGATATCTTTAAATTCGTGCTTAGCTTTAGTTTTAATAACAAAAAGTTGTGTGACCTATATGATCATTTTGTAGATCAATTACCTTGCGTTATTGAAAAAATTATATTTGAAAAATATTTTTGATATATTTCTAAGCATACAGTATATTATCCAATGAAAATTTCGGGTCTAACCCGGGTTATTCGAATTAAATATACTCGGGTCAGGTTAAAATCGGATCATTTCTATTTTTGCCGGGTCGAGTCGGATATATTCTCCAAACCCGACCGAATCCGACCCGGTAGGAGCACTAATTAATAAAATTGTCAAACTTATTTTATTTATGTAATAAAAATTTATTTGATATTATACGTTTATTTTATTTTATTCTTTTTTTAAACATGCAAAAAAATTGCTACTGAAACTTGTTAATTATAGAACTCTTTTACCATTCCTTTTACAATAATAAATTTATTCTTCACAATTTTTTAAATTTTTCTTACAAATGGATCAAATTCTAAATGGTTCATTCATTTCATCGAATTCAGCTAAATCGAAATCAGATAAATCAATCGTAACATCTTAACTTGATAACAACAATCATACCTGTACGGTTGCCACTGGATATAACGAATCTCCATTCAGGAGGAGGTTTAGTTCGGTATATAGTGAATTCGTTATATAATATACTGAACTTCTGGGAAATTTGAGCGCTGACCAGAATTATAATTTCGTTTGACAAAAATTTTTTGAAAAAATTACTGATAATCCCGGCCGGCACTATAAATTTGGCCTGGATTAGTATATAGTCACATGACTATTCGTTATATTCCAGCGAAATTATTTATAAAAAATCGGTTCTGGAAATTCCGGTTCGGTATAACGAGATTTCAGTACAAACAAGTTCGCTATA